GAAGCCAGTTCTGATTACTCAGGGGCTAAAGCAAGAAACCAGAGAGGTTCAACACCCGGTCGAAGTAATTTTATGCAAACCCCTAATCGAGGTTCTCAGACTCCACAAGGCATTAGAGGGAACAGACCCTTAAGGGGTGGGAAAGGAAGACCTGCTGGTGGCAGAGAGAACCAACAAGGTGCCATTCCAATGCCTATCATGGGGTCACCATTTGCAAACCTTGGAATGCCACCACCCAGTCCCATTCATTCTCTTACTCCTGGCATGTCGCCAATTCCGGGCACTCCTGTCACCCCTGTCTTCATGCCTCCATTTGCCCCAACTCTTGTATGGCCTGGGGCCCGAGGAGTTGATGGTACTATGTTACCTGTTCCTCCTGTTCTCTCGCCTCTTCCTCCCGGACCATCAGGCCCAAGATTTCCTTCAATTGGCACACCGCCAAACCAGAATATGTTCTTTACTCCACCAGGTTCTGATAGAGGAGGGCCTCCTAACTTCTCTGGGTCTGCATTCAATGTTTCTGGACAAATGGGACGTGGAATGCCATCTGATAAGAATTCAGGGGGGTGGGTTCCTCCTCGAGGTGGTGGACCTCCTGGTAAAGCTCCTTCTAGGGGAGAGCAAAATGACTATTCCCAGAACTTTGTGGATACTGGAATGCGGCCGCAGAATTTCATTCGAGAGCTGGAGCTTACCAATGTGGAAGACTACCCCAAGCTTAGAGAGCTCATACAGAAGAAGGATGAGATTGTATCTAATTCTGCATCTGCACCAATGTATCTGAAAGGCGACTTGCATGAAGTTGAGTTATCTCCCGAGTTATTTGGAACAAAGTTTGATGTTATTCTTGTTGACCCACCGTGGGAGGAATATGTCCATAGAGCTCCTGGTGTTTCTGATAGTATGGAGTATTGGACATTTGATGATATTATCAATCTCAAGATTGAGGTGACTATTTTCTACACTCTTCAATTGCTCATAGGATTTTAGGGTACACACATCCTCTCTTGGGTTATATTTTTTGAGCTGATGTTACTCTCTGCTTAGCACTAGATCTGATGTGATGTTTCAGATATCATTTGTTATCTGAATAAAGTTAGGCAAAGTAGTGGTACTGATTACCGAACATATAGTATTGACTTGTGTGTGGACATTGTGTGTAAGGTTGGTTGCCATCTTTGTTATTGCAGTTTATAACAAAAACAGAATTTTCCATGTATCTGTAGGCAATAGCTGACACTCCCTCCTTTATCTTCCTCTGGGTTGGTGATGGTGTTGGGCTTGAACAAGGGCGCCAATGCCTGAAAAAGGTATTCGGTTCAAATGATTTCTTATTTTCTTTTATGTTTAGGATTTGTTTGTCTTGACAGTATTCACTTCATCTATATTTGTTTGGGTGTCACAGTGGGGTTTCAGAAGGTGTGAGGACATTTGCTGGGTGAAGACCAACAAAAGTAACGCAGCACCAACATTGCGACATGATTCTCGTACTGTGTTTCAGCGTTCCAAGGTCCAGTATGGTCTGCCATTGCCTCCTCGTTTGATTCCTGTGTTGTATATCTTTTGCTTAATCGTTTTTATTGGTATTCGTTTTATAGGAGCATTGCTTGATGGGGATAAAGGGTACTGTTCGGCGTAGCACTGATGGGCATATAATCCACGCTAACATCGACACTGATGTAATTATTGCTGAAGAGCCTCCTTATGGTTAGTAAAATGTGTGTTCCTGATAGAGTGATAAAATCGAGAGTATCTTGCTTGTCCTTATGGTTGGTAAAATGTGTGTTCCTGATAGAGTGATAAAATCGTGAGTATCTTGCTTGTCATATCTCCTTCTCTTTGTTCTGCTTCCAGCTTCCTGTTTCTTTTAAAGTGGGCATGATAGGAGTGCATCAATTATGGCACATCAGCAATTGTGTATAAATAGGATTAAGGTGTGATTAAGGTTTTGCTTTATGTGATTAAGGTGTCAAGTGTTTTGGTACTGGTTTGGGGATTAGTGTTGGGAGGCAAGTTTTTGGGTTCTCGATAACAAAGCCCTAAGTTTCTTTTGGCTCTCGGTTATGGTACATGTGATTAGTTTGCTGGATTAGTCTTGGATTATCCACACTGTAAGCTGGTTCATTGAGAAATATATAAGATTCTGTGGTTGATTTTAACATTGCCATGTCTAAATATTAGTGAATTTGTATCCCTCCTATTATTGCAAGCTGGTTTGCTTAGTTGCATCTCTTTACGCTGTAAAACTGCAGGTTCGACTCAGAAGCCTGAAGATATGTATAGGATAATAGAGCATTTTGCACTTGGTCGGCGGAGGCTTGAGCTTTTCGGTGAAGACCACAATATTCGAGCTGGCTGGCTTACTGTTGGAAAAGGCCTTTCTTCCTCAAACTTTGAGTCACAGGTAAGATCTCATGTTCGCTCTGCAGACATCTATCCACCTCCTGTTTACATGAGCTTTAGACCTATGCAAGTAGCTTCTATGACTGTTTGATCTGTTTTGGATATTCTTTGCTTTAGGCTTATGTAAGGAACTTCGCAGACAAGGAGGGTAAAGTGTGGCTAGGAGGAGGAGGAAGAAATCCACCTCCAGACGCACCGCATCTCGTTGTGACGACTCCTGATATAGAATCGCTTCGGCCCAAATCACCAATGAAGAATCAGCAACAACAATCATATTCATCGTCTCTAGCCTCTGCAAATTCTTCAAACAGAAGAACCACAGGAAACTCACCACAAGCAAATCCTAACGTTGTTGTCTTACATCAAGAGGCTTCTGGATCTAACTTCTCTGTTCCGACCACCCCACATTGGGTGCCACCATCGGCACCAGGCCCCGCAGGTCCTCCTCCAATGGACAGCTTTAGAGTGCCTGAAGGTGGCAACAACACAAGACCACCTGAAGACAAGAATGTTGACATGTACGGTTTTAATTGAGCCTCTCCCAAATTTGCAGAGTTTCCAGAATTGTTTCTATTGAATGGATATTTTACCCCTTTGCATTGAGAAACTCTGCTGCGTACGGTTTTGGTTCTCTGTTTGTAATTCTTTTCATTTTTTACTTTCGTAGAGCCAATACTTTATATTCGTTTCATTATCAATCAAGCTTTTACCTAATAATCCCAATTTGCTCCATACAATGTGATGTACCCAAATCAAATCGCATTAAACCCTTTATATTCATAAGTTACAAAGTCTTATCTGGTAAATGCATCCATTGGCGTCACAGTATGTGCAAACCACCAAGTAAAAAGTCCTTAGAGCCTCAGAAGTAGCGATGTTTTCTCAAGAACTAGTTGCAGGAACCTCCAGGAGACGAGAATTTAAGATTCACTAACTCCACATTCCAATAAAAATCTCTTGTACTCGAGCTCTACTCTGTTATATGCTTCATTCATTTCATCGTTAGCTTCCTGATTCGTTGAAGCGACCTGCATGCAGTTAGCTTCTTTAACAACCGAAGCAAAAATCTGTAAACGTATATTACTCAAACTTATGTAAGTAGCTGACTCTGTATTCTGGCGACGAATCATGTTCATCAGAAGCAAGCGGCTCGTTCCAATCAATCAACGCGGTTCTCCACCTTGTTGTTTTGGAGCCATGGTGATGATCTTGTGATGGTTTTCTGGAGATTATTGTGTGTAACGTCCCAATTATGCATACAATGCAGAACCCAAGAACAGGAAGCAGAGAAGTGAACAAAACACCTGTGTTTAACTAAAGAGAGATATGATTACAGGCTGGAAAACACACTAAGACTACACAATGCTAAATTAGAAACCAAGATCCAAAAAGAATACAACGGAAGCGCTTAGAGGAACGCCACCGAAGCATCGAGTAAACACATGATCCAAACACAGTAAGGAATGTGGATCCAATAAGACACGAACATGGATATAAAGGAAAACTAAAACCTTTCACACTCCTAGTAGTAGAGATATGTTGTGCTTACATGTGGCAAATTGTGGTGATCGTGCCCTGAAAGATTATCTGCAGTGCTAACAGTCTCACTGTATTTCTCTTGCTGGCGTAAATCAGGTAGTTCCTCAGTTGTGTTCTGTCAATACTCATCAAATTTTCAAAGACTAATGAAAGCCAGAATCTCCCAAATTGGGATAATAGTAAAAACCATTCAAGGACTTCTGTGATATACCATCTTAGCGTCATCTATAACAGAAGAAGGAACATCATCGTGGTGCTTCTCTTCAAAATTTAGGTCATCAAGTCTACTACTTGTTTTATTTTCTTCAGGGGTTTCTACTGATACTCCATATTGCTTCAAAATACGTCTCAAGGACTCACTTCTGCAACATCAAAGAGACTAATTCTATAAAACATAGCCAAAATTACCAAAACATTCCTGATTCTAAAGAAACCCTTGATTATTCTCAAAGAACCAACCACTAGATGAAAAAATCAATCACCAGAACCACACAAATCTTATCATTACTAACTCAAATTCAATCTCAGCAATTCAGAGTCACTCACTAATAATGAGTGATGAAGTTCAAAACTTTTTCAGTTAACAAAATTACACACAGAGAACAAAGTCATCACCTTTTAGCAAAACGAGCCAGTTCGTGTTGAGTTCTCTGTTCCTTCTCTAACATCTGCTGAGCTCGAATCTTCCATCTCTACAATACCAAAACAACCACAGAACAAAAATTAGCAAAAAAAAAAAATTAAGGAATTTGTATCTTTGCTTTGTAACCTAACCTCTGAAACTCTTCTAAACCGTTTACTTCTGAAACCGATCAAGGAAGAGCCAAAAACGTCCTCATTGATCAACGAAGCAGCTCCAAGGTGCAAACTTGCCATAGAAGAGGAAATTAGAAAGATTTAGAAAAGAAGAGACCATGTTCCGATGTTCGACCACAAAGATGACATTGTCTTCTTCGACTAAAAAGCTTCGTCTTCATCTGGAAAGAAGAACACATGGTCCCCAAGACTCACTGAACGAAACAGAGGGTCCTCTGTTTTTGAAAAGGACGTTTCTTTTAGGAATACATGGTCCCCAAGACTCACTTCATCTATGTCAAAAAGTAAAGGGTTTTTGTGTAACGAATTAAAACGTTTGGGTCTTTTTTGTAGTTTATAATAAGTATAGGAATGTAATTATAAATACTATATACGGAGTAAATGAGATTCTTACAAAAGCAGAAAAAAGCAATCATTCAGATTTTCCAGATTGCGACATCTTACCTTTTTACCGCCATAAATCACGCGCGAAATTCCCCACTCCCACGCGCCTATTCCACTTCTTCATCGTCACGCGCTTCTTCGTGGGCGTTAGGAGACGGAGGATGAAGAATCGTAATGTGAGAGTCGCTTGGAATTTCTGTAATGAAGTTGGTGACGAAGCACCTTCAATGAGAAGCCCTAGACTCGCTGATTGCGCCGATCTCTCTTGCCCGTTCCTCGCAGGTATTACTCGCAGATCATTCGTTGATTTCAGCATTTGGTTTTGTAATTCTCTTCGAAATGAGATCATGAATGATGAGTATCAATGTAGAAGAAGTTGTGTTCATACGGATTCGAGTTGCGTGTAGAAGAAGTTACTGATTACTTGGCTTACAAATAGTCTTTTAAAGTTTGTAGCAATCCAGTTTTTACTTTACTTCTTTGTCTCTATCTATAATGTGCTCTGTGATTGTCGTCTCAGTTCTATTGCTGATGAGAAGTGGACAATGTATTTGACTGGTGGATTTAATGGTGATGGTGGTTATCACTATAATGGCCGTGGCATGATGAGAAATGTTTGTAGCGTTCTATCGATCTTTCATATGGAAAAGCTTTCTTGAGTTTCTTGATTCTCTCGGTCTGACTATAAGATGTGTTTGGTTTTCTTTTGTATGTCTCCAAACTTCAAAGTAAAGCTAACACTTGATGTTAAACTTGGTGGACGACCTAACACTAACAGCCAATTTTATTTGATCTCGTTGGAAGAATTATGGTTGTCCATGTGATGGAGATGTTTTGACTGATGTAACTAGATACATCGAGATGATAATTAACCTGGCGACAACAAGCTGGTGTAGTCTAGATAATTTATATAGTGTCATGTCCTCCATATCATAGAAGTGCCTCGGGTGAGATCATACATAGGAATGAGACATCCCGGTTCCCATATTCTGCTTACCATCTATATTGCAGCCCTGGCAACGCTGAACATCTAGAGGAACCATTCGATATATGTGATCCATATAGCAATCCTCAAGCACAAGATCGTTGGTCAAAATTCTGCCTCATTGAGAATGGTCGATCGGTCCACGGATATCCCGAGAAGAAAGGGGATGGTTGGACTGGAGATTCAAGAACTTGGGTGCTCGATGTTGGAGTTCTCTTAAGTCGTCTCTACTTCTACTAGGTAATATAGATTATGTGCACATATATTAAGACTTAGACTTAGCATTAAACTTATATGTCTTTGTGGACAGGACCCGGGAACCAAACCAGCAAAGCGAGTGTGGATATCGATCAACGTTGCAGAAATACATGTTAGCAATAGACAAGAAACTGTAGAGTGGACAGTGAGTGATTTTGATGTGTTGGTTCCACAAAAACAAACAAGATCCTTGTGAACATGAAGGTTGTAACAATTCAGTAGTAGCTTTTGCCTTTTTTTTTCTTATTAAGTATTTTATTTTTTTTTGTAAATTAAATTCACAAACAGAAACTCACTAGCCTCGATTACATGATCTTTTTTATTTTTTTTGTGCCAAAAGATTTAATTTTATGAACATGTTACACAAACATAAATGAAAAGGAATAAGTTTCTTTTTAGTTTTTTTGTTTAGAAAGAAAAAGTATTTGTTCTATGTATTATTGGGTTGCTATGTTTAGGCCAGACCGGTGGTGTTAACTTTATGAAAACGTGTTTCCAAAATAAGTTCGAGCACAACTTCTACATCTTTTCTAACTCGTCATCAATACAGCCAAGTTGTCTGAGCATATTACAAGAAGAGCAATCTTTTTTTAATGATCGTGAACAAAGATGTAATTAAATTCAACCGAACTAAAAATCACATTTATTTGGTGGTATTGGAAATTTTTTTGAGGCATTATATTTTCTAATTTTAATTAAGAGTTGATATAGTGACCGATATAAATTTATGAATTATATAGAGAGGAGAGGAGTTACCATTACCAATCAAACCTTTGATTTACTAAAAATCTAAATCTTCTATTAGTAAAATATTTTTGAAAAGATATAAAAAGTATTAATTATATTAGGCCATATAGTATTGTGGATGGAATCTATCTATCTAAAGATTGCTGAATTTTCTTAACCTTTTTGATTAATATTTAGGCTATCTTGAAAGAGCCATTTGACTTCCTAAACAGCGTAGTCTAAACATTTATGTAACAATAACTTGAGTGACTTATATTTGGTAACTTAGTAATATATAAAAGGGTTTTGGAATTTTAGAGTTGGTGTGATTAACGAAGGAATATAAAAACAAAATTTTACTTAAGAAAGAGTCAAAGAGAAGATGGAAACTAGCTAGGGCAAATAAATGAGGAGATGCACCAATAACGTCAACATCTACTCTCTCTCTCTCTCTCTCTCTCTCTCTCTCTCTCTCTCTCTCTCTCTCTCTCTCTCTCTCTCTCTCTCTCTCTCTCTCTCTCTCTCTCTCTCTGCAATAATACAATTTGCGTGTCACTTTCGAGCCCTAAATTAAGCTCTGCAAATTCACCTTTCTCTTTAATTTTCCACCAAAGGAATCTTAAATTCTTAATACTTGCGTGTCAATATATATATATCGTTTCAAAATTTACATTATACATATACTAATCTCAATATGTAGGTGTAACACATTTATATCTCAATTTTTCATTTCGGTTTTGTTGGATAATGTTCTCACTTTCTTGAAAGAATGAAACATACGTACGTATATTTACGTGGAAGTTATGTATATGTTTTAAAAGGTTTAAGTAAATCACACTTGTTTAAATAAACACAAATAACCAATGAGTGGTGGTACAATGATATATTTTGAGTGGTGCATAATTTTCTTTTGGATTTATGATAGGGTTCGTCATCTACTTATTTTACTTTTAACTCACATATTGTTACTATTAACTTTTCGTTGGTCACTATCGACGCGTAATTTAGCAAAATAAAACAAGTATTAGCTACTTTATGGTTCGGTGATGGAGTCTTCCCGGTTACAAAATTAATGTCTGAAACATTTGTTACCATATGGATGAAAATGATTGATAGAAAATAAATCATTTTTCTTACATTTTCCTAAATATTTTACCATTTTGGAGATCATTAATCAGCAAATCCAAAAATGAACAAAACATATTATCATAAGTGATTGCTGTAAAAAGTACATATTTATTTATAAAACAATTGTCGTCGCATATAAGAAAGGAGCAATATTTTTAAATACTCATAATTTAACAATGAGTTTCTTGAATAATTTTGATATCTTAACTATGCCAAAAAAAAATAATTATCATGAAAATATATTTTGATATGCTAAAATTTCAACCAGGGTTATAATTAATTCAATATTTCTTATCATTTCATATGTTTTAGTGAAATGTTATCTCTGTTTTGCCTTTTATTTTCTGAAAAATTCAAAATCAAATTTCAGATTAACCCACGAGATTAGAGGCATCCATGATTAAAAATTATAATGTGAGAAGATTCGACTCTAACCCTTCAACTTCACGACAAATAATCTATTGAACCGCCATGAATTGATTAATTAGTATATAATTTTTAATTTTATTTTAAACACCATCTTTTTCTTACCATGCAACTAAAACTCTTAGACCATATATATATATCGAGTAATAAAATTAGAACGATACATAAATTTCGAAATACCAAATCTTGGTCATGCCGTACGTGAACTTGGCCAAAATATGAAATGATGACGCATGTAGCTTAGCTAGAGAATCTCAATTGCTCTCAAAATGTGAAAGAAATTAAACAATGAAAATTAACACTTTAGAGTTTTGTAAGGAATCTTGTAAGTTATAATACTTTCTATGTGCGATTTAGCTTAAAAGAAAGGTTAAAATAACATTTTTTGTTTGCTCATTATTTTTTTTTTCTTTCAATATATCTTAAATTTTGTATTTCTATTCAAAATTTCTGGCAGCATACCAAAATTTAAGATTCCTAGTCATACATAAAGTTATTTTTTTTAATATAGCAATTGCATTGGCAACCGCAACCGCAGCAATCGCATTCTCACTTTGGACATTGGAAGGTGAGCAAAGAAAGAAACGTCTACAAATAGACATATTGAGTGGGAAGCTTAGGGTTTTTGAAGAGAAAAGAATTTGGGTTTGTTTTTGGGATTCTCAAAAAACTCAAAAAACTTTCCTCTTTTTTTCTTTTGTTTTGTTTTCTTATAAAGGAGAAAGAGAGAGAGAAAGAGAGTTTCCGAAAGCTGAATTGAGTTGGGTGAAGCAAATTCTCAGGTCTGTCTGTCATGTCTTTACTTCTTCTTCTCATAAAGGAAAACACTTCTTGTTCTCATCAAGTTCCCATCTTTGTACACATCTCTTCATTCAAAAACTCTACATTTATATCTCTCTATATATGCAGATTCCAAGCTTATTGTAAATTTGTAATAATAATTCTTGTCAGCATGGGTTTTTTCTTTGCTTGTCTCTTCACAAAACTTAATTTTCACAATTATGAAATATTTTCCCTTTTTATTTTTTTACTCGATCTCTTCCGTCGTTTGATGCTCTTTCCCCATGAAAGAAAGAGAGACAAAGAAAGATCACCAGATTAAAGAATTAGGTTATCTATTTTTTTTTTTTTTTAAAGTTTCTCACATGTAGATCTCTGCTAGATTCTCTTTCCTTTCTTGTCAGCTAAAGTGGAGTTTTTGGTCTGAAAATCTTCCAAATCTGTTGTATTTCTTCTTCCTCTTCTCGAAACTAAGCATGGTTTTGTCTCTCTCTTCTTTCTGTGTAATAATGTTTCTTGTGTTTCCCTTATGTACTACTAACTTCAGTTTCATGTGCATCAGTGCCTTCTTCTTCCTCTTCAATATTAATTTGATTTATTTTCTCTCTCCATATTTCCAATCTATTTCTTTATGAAAAATTCTTGAATCTTTTGCCGTGAAAAGAAACTAAAGAATGTGTGCATACATCAAATTAAAGATCAATGAATTTGTAAAACATATTACACAGGCAAAAGTATTTACATCTTCCAGATCTAAGATCATTATGTATATTTGTTGTTTTCCATTTGACCCCATGAAGCCTTATAGAAATTTATTGAAGAGAGAGGGAGAGAGAGAGATCGTACAAGGGATGGGGCAAAATAATTTGTATCTGGGTACCAAAAAACCATGTAATTGTCAGATTTTACCTCGCTGGCTTCTTCTTCTTTTTTTTTGTTTTTTTTTTTAAAATTCCTAATGAGAAACTTATTAAGTATATAGATTATATACATATAGAAACCTATTTCAGAAGAATTACATGTAATATATACGATCCTCTAGCATGGTTATATGTTCAAATATATAAATTCTTAAACTCTAATTTCAGCAACATCAGATCTGCACCAGATCCAATTGATTCTTGTCTATGTCCTAGAGATCAATCAACAACATCCTTAATTTCTTTTCCCGAGAAAGTTGAATACAAAAAGAAAACCTTTTTTATATAACAATAATTGCGTTTGGTAAGTCTTAATTAAGTAAATTAATTTAAACCCTAGCTTTAGGGTTTTGTTTATCCTACTCCATTTTTTAATTAGCTACAAAAATTGTTCCACTTTTCTGGTATATCTTCTTGCAATCTACTGATAATTTGTGTCTTTAAAATTATCTTATCAATACTGCCGAAATTGAGCAATTCTAAGTGTTGTTTGATGTTTTTAAAATGAAGGATGGGAAGAGGAAAGATAGAAATAAAGAGGATAGAGAATTCAACAAATCGACAAGTGACGTTTTGCAAAAGAAGAAATGGACTTCTGAAGAAAGCCTATGAGCTTTCGGTCCTTTGCGATGCAGAAGTTGCGCTCATTGTCTTCTCCACTCGTGGCCGTCTCTATGAGTACGCCAATAACAAGTAAGCCATTTCATTCCAACCATATATGTCCTAACAAAATAGAAAAAGTTTGAGAATTGTGTCAACTTTTGTTTGTGCTCGTTTGAATAATGAATTAGTGCATTATTATTAAGAGAGCTACCATTAAATACATTAGAGAGCTACAGAAATGATTTATCTTTTGCAATACTTTCGTATAGATGTCTTTGATTATGAAGTAAAATGATGCAAAATAATAGCGATAAAACATAGATGAGATTGAAATCTAGACATGCGATTTTTTTGGTCTATAGGTTGAACCATTTAAAATATAAAAAAATCTAGACTAAGGCAACACCATATAACAAATAAAATACATATAAAGTTTTAAATTCATGAGTCTATATTTACTTTTAGCTATATTTACTTACGCATACCCATGGATATTTCATATTTGATAAAAGTAAACATAAATATACATAAGTCCAAAAGTAGTACTATATCAACATACTCTTTTTTCTTACATCATATATACATACTATTTTCATATATTACCTATGTATCTTGAGAAAATCTTAAAAGTCAGGTTATCAAAAAGAAAATCTTAAAGAGATAGAGAAAGAGAAAAAGAGAGTACAATGGGTTTAAGTACCAAAATCATGCTAGCTAACTTGCAGTTGCAGTTGGTCAACAAGTCTTTTTTGATTTTTTGCTTTTGTCAAAGTTGTTCTTGGAACTTAAAACAGTTGTGCAGCGAGAGATGTCATGTAGTTTTGTTGTACTCTCTTTTCCTCTTTCATCTTAAGCATATCAGGTCTATTTCTTCATGTTTTGTTGTAGCTTTTTCATCTTATATCTTCCATTATTTCCTTTTAAGTCACTCACTTCAAACTATATTATATATCCAAAACATTCAGTAGTTTTTATTCTTTCCTTTTTTACATGACACATGTCACATAGTCTCAACTCCACTTTCTGTCCTTCAGTTACAACCCAATTTTAAATTTAGTTGCATATTTGTATACAAAAAAAACTTATTATTGTTCCACATTATTCAGTGTTTATATACATTGTTTGTTTGTTAATGCTACATGCAAATATTTAGAATATATACGTTTTTTTCGACAAAAACCTAATTTTTTTTTTTAAAGATCTTATATATTTTAAAATATTTTAGGGTGTGATTAGCTCAAACTAATTACCGTGGAATTGTTTATCTGCGTTTAGGTTTGTCTACATTTCCATTTCATTGTTTGTTTAGACAAATAAAATGGTGGGCACAATATACTCGATTTCTTCTTTAGACACTAATTGTAATTAATTAGACTACCACAGTACTGATTAATTGCATAAGTATGTTCTTGATTTAATTGGATGGTTTTTTTGTAACAGCATAAGATCAACCATTGAGAGATACAAGAAAGCTTGTTCTGATAGCACCAACACCAGCACTGTCCAAGAAATCAATGCCGCGGTTTCACTTTTTGTCTTCATCTCTTTACTTCTTAACATCACATATATGTTCTTATAGTGTGATGATGCTTAAATTACAGTACTATCAACAAGAATCTGCAAAGCTGAGACAACAGATCCAAACAATTCAAAACTCCAACAGGTTTTATATATATCTGAACTTTATTTTACCAGCTTTTTCACCCATATTTATATGTACATATATTGAGTGTACCATATTTTTTAAAACGTTGTAGGAATCTGATGGGAGAATCTTTGAGTTCCCTAAGTGTCAAGGAACTAAAACAAGTTGAGAATCGCCTTGAGAAAGCTATCTCCAGGATCAGGTCCAAGAAGGTACAGCTACAACATATTACAAAACTCTTATATACAAGTTTTTTTATGCGTTATCAGTTTCATGAATCTATGTATATACAATACATATTCTAAATCTGCTTTGTGTTCTTGTGAAAAACAGCATGAGTTGCTTCTAGTTGAAATCGAAAACGCGCAGAAAAGGGTAAGGAAAGCTCAAAATGGTTGCTCTAAATCTCTAGTTTTTTTTTCTTTTTTCCTTTTTGACCTCAATCTTAATCTCTAGTTAAAAACTAAATATTTGTGAATAAAGCTACACTTTTCTTTTTCCCAAATTTTAATTGTGTGAATCTTTGAATATGGTGTATTTTGCAGGAGATTGAGCTTGATAATGAGAATATCTATCTACGAACTAAGGTAATATTACTGTGTGTGAATTCAATAGACATATCAAATCAGTCACTTCTTTAACTAATTAATATGTTTCTTAACAGGTAGCAGAAGTGGAGAGGTATCAACAACACCATCATCAAATGGTTAGTGGTTCAGAGATCACCGCCATCGAAGCTTTAGCCTCACGCAATTACTTTGCTCATAGTATTATGACTGCTGGTTCTGGTTCTGGTAATGGAGGTTCTTACTCTGACCCCGACAAGAAAATCCTTCATCTCGGTTAATCTCGTGGGTGAAAATCGAGCTGCAATAACGGTTTATAAAGCTCTGCATCTGGGGATTCTCTACTCAGATTTATCTCTACATAAAATATGTTTTGGTTTATGATAATAATTCAAAGTACAATGAAGGTATTGATCCTTCAAGACTCATTGGAAATTGTGTTGTGTAATGATGAAGACATACTCTGAGAAAACATAACATATGTTTTTGATGTATTATTGGATCAAAGTACAATGAAGGTTTTGATATAATCCTTCAAGACTTTGGTTTATTGTTTCATATCATATATACATGTTATGGTATGTATGATCATATATATACATAGCATTTTAAGATATGATCAAAGAACAGTGCACTTCTTGTTAAGTTCGGTGCGTAACGAAGCAGTTTCTTTCTCAGCTTTGTTAAGTTGTTCTCTTAGCCTCCTGATCTCATCAGAAGATAGTTTCTGAATTTCATTCATCTTTTTCTCGGTTTCTTCTCTCTCGGCTTGTGCCTTAGCTAGTTGCTCCTTCACATCTTTCAATGATTCCTTCAGTTGATTAGAGATCTAACCAAAGAAAACAACTTGTAATGATGATTTATTCATATACATACATTAACACATAAACCAATGATTGAAATGAACTTACCTTCTCTTTTATCCCCTCGAGCATTTCGTTATGCAATTTCTCTAGTTCCTTTTTCATTTGAGATATCTCTTGTTTTGAAGACCAACCTTTCATTGCTTCAATCTGCTTCTGCTTTTCCTCAATAGTGGCCTCATTCTCCTGGAAAAAGGAGATGAAATTTTAACTCAGATATATAACACTATACAAAATGTGAAATATAATCTTGTTTTGTTATAAGAATCTGTCTTTTTTTACCCTTAGCTCATGTGATAAGTCAGCCATATACGATTTTCCATTGTTCTTCTTTGAGATTTGTTCGACGAGGTTGAGAAGATCATGGACTTGTCTTTCTTTCTTGCTCACAGGGGCATTATAACTATTGTCAAACAACACTTTACGATCATCACATTCTTTGAGAATCTCCTATATATAAATAAAATTTTGAAGTTATAAAGATGTTTCATGTATGAGATGCTGAAATTTCACACAATATTAACCGCTCTTGGTGAAAGATTATAAACAAACCTGAAATTCAGGACAATCTTCCAAATAATCATCCAAAGTTTCTCCATACTCGAGTGCATCCTCATTGGTGAAAACAACGATTATATAGTCAACGATTTGATTTCCGAAAAGGATCTTTAATGTGCGAAGCGTTGATTGTTCTTCTTCTGTTAACCGATTCCTTACAGAGAAGACAAGAAGCACTGCATCGATACCACCTTTAGCTAGAAGCAAGCATCTAATGATTTCTCTGATGGTAAAATCTGTCGTCGAGGAAGCACTAAACAGACCTGAAAGTACCATTAGATTAATCATAATGTACTGTCTATATGTTTTAAGAAAATGTGTGATATAGAAAGCTTTACTAACTCACCAGGAGTGTCGATAACATTGATGGTCAGACCATTTGGTAGCTTGGATTTATGTAGCTTACATTCTTTGGTAATGAATTTTCCTCTTGCTTTTGACTGAAACATAGTTTTACCTAGAATGCTGTTTCCCGTTGCGCTTTTACCATTCCCTGTTCGACCGAGTAGAACTAGAGTTCTTTCAGGTTTCCAATCATTCTCCACGTTAAGTGCAGTCGAATCCAACGCCATATTTTCGAATCTATTAACCCTAAAAAGGGAAAGTTAATGGCTAGTGATGGTTCTTGAAATGACTAAAGAAAGGTAAAAAAAAAAAATCAAGAAGTTAGAAAAACTTGTTATCTTTAGCAGAACATACCTGAGAAAAGCTCAAAACGAAATGTTATCACAATTCAAAGAAATAGTTTTGTAATTTATAGAGACAAAACAGAATATTCATTAGACAAATTGTGAAAGAAAAGAATAATGGCGAGAAGATCTTAATAAAAAACCAAAAGGGGTCTGACAAGAAAGGAATCTAAGAGAAAGATAACAATCTTTACCAAGTTTAGTCGGTCCAATCGAGCTGCGAATTTTCTTTATCCTTTTACCTTTCCCTGAAGAAACAACCTTAAAGCTGCCACTATGATTGACCAATATGAATCTTCCATTGAAGTGATCCGAAAAAGCTAAAAAGGAATCTCTGAAGTTTTTCCTTTCATCATTCCTGAAATAGATAACCTACAGAAAAAGTTACTCCTGCAAAGAAACAATGGCCTGAACTTATTCAACATTCAATTTTGAAACGTAAGACACACGACAAGGTGCATACACTGATTTCTTTGAAACACAAGAGAAGCAATTTCTTCTCTGAAACTAAATTCCAGAGTAGTAGTTGCAAGACAGATTCACCTTCATTTCCCATTTTTCTTACACATGATAAAGAGATATATAGAGATTCAAAGAACTGGAAGAAACATAGTAGATGATCTGGCCTAATAAGAGAGTATAGGGCAACAATTCTAGACTCTCTTGTTACTCTTAAAGAACTTTAAAAGTAAAAAAACAATTGAACACAGAGAGACTAAGTTCTTGTCATATTTGGACGTGGATGTTACTGGCAGAATCAGTAAAATAATAATAAGACCATCATATAAAGGGTAGAAGAAGAAACCAGAAAATAAAAATCAGAATAATCAAGGAGAAAGAAAACAATCACTCCATTCATCTAGCATCAAATTTGGTTATTTTTATCACAATATCAATCACAGAATGATGCACTTATTGGATTTTGTTTTAACTTGCATGATCATTCTATCCGCTCTCTCAAGATCCCTCCTGAGCCTATTAACTACATCGCTTGAATGTTTCTCGACTCTGTTTGCTCTTTTCTCCATTTCAAGTCTTGCAGCTTGCTCTTCCTTCAGCTGCTGCTCTAACCTTGTTTGTGTATCTTTCAGCTTAGTCTCCACCTAAGCAAAGAATTCAGAGAAAATAAATGTATGATTAAATTATTTTTATAACCGAGTGAACTAACTAAATTCATGTTACGTGAGATTCATGACTCAATCTTTGACAAGTAACAAAAGAATCTAGACAACTCCAAAACACATTACCCTCTCCATCATGTGACTGAGCTGCTGATTTTCATGAGACTCCACCATATCTTTTATCATATGAGACATTTCTTGTTGGTTCACCTTCATTTCTAAAATCTGCCTCTGTTTTTCTTGAAATGCTGTCTCATTTTCCTGAGAACCAGATGTAATAAGCAATCATAAGACATTAAAAGTGGGGATGAGTATTATATAAATTTTCATTTTTGTTCTCACTCTTATCTCGTGAGATAGATCATCCATATATGGTTTCTCATTCGTCCTCGCGATTTCTTCAACATAGTTTAGGACTTCTTGAACTTGCTGAGCTTTCTGAATCTCAGGAGCTTTCGTCTTGTTTTCAAACAACACTATGCGGTCATTGCAGGCCTCGAGAATTTCCTACAACCATAAACAAGTCACGATTCAATAAACAACGAAAAAGAAGGTGAAAATCTTCTGAAAGAAGTTTCAAGACCACACTTACCTTGAAGTCAGGACAGTCATTCAAATATTCCTCAAATGTATCACCGTTATCTTCAAGAGCATCTTAATTTGTAAAAACAACGATCATGTAGTCTAAAATTTTGCTTCCGAAAAGGATCTTTAACGCGAAAAGCGCAGATTTTCTCCTCTTCTGTTAGCCTCAAGGAAAATACCAATAGTACTGCATCAATCCCATCTTTGGTCAGAGCTAAGCACCTCAAAATCTCTCTGCACGTAAACTCGGTTGATGGAGACAGACTAAACAGACCTGCAGAGACAATCAAGATGCATTGGTTTTAAGATTGTAAATATCATAAATGAATCATTGGCTTTACGGTTTTTAGCTATACCAGGAGTATCAATAACATTGAGGATCTGGCCATTAGGTAGCGTCGAACTCTGTAGCTCACAGACTGTAGTCACCCCTTAAGCACGGCTGCACGGCCTTTTGACTTGAATGCCGGTCTTCCAAGAATGCTATTCCCTGTCGAGCTTTTCCTGTTACCTGAACGCCCTACCAAAAGTAGGGTTCTTGCAGGTTTCTGTTCTAAACGTGAATCACGAGTAACCTCCAAAACAGAATGGTTTCATCTTTATAGTATTTGATAAAATTATTTTTGTTTAAATATAGTATTTTTTTTATATTCACTCTACTTAAGTATGAGTGGTAGGTTTCATTCTAATAATTTTGTTCTAATTTTTTATTCTAACTAAATTTAATTTTCATGAAACATATGATTTCATTTTTTTTTTTTTTATCTTAAGGACCAAAATGTTTTAATGAAGCTCTTTTTGTTTTCGAATAATAATTAAACCTCAAATTTTAAATAAATGAAACATTATGACTGGTATGAACTGAACCTTGCATTGGATATGATGGTTCTGAGGTGGAGCTTTTTTCAAAGAGTTTTGAGTTGAGATTAAAGATTCGATCGAGTCTACTAAGGAAATTACAAATCCTTAGCATTCCCAACCAGGAAATCATAAATACCAAAAAGCTTATACTTAGTAATCACTTAATTCGAGCCACACAAAAGGTAGAAACTAAATTGCATGGAGAGAAATCAAACCTAAAAAGGCTCACAGGTTGCTTGGAGAGTAAGCAATCGAGAAAAAGGTATTTTCATTTCGATGTCCATACATGTATAGGAAAATAAATATCACTCTAGTAAATCAATCATACATGCCTTGTGTTCTCCAAATCTCTACCAAACGCCCACTTTCTTGCGATCTTGCTCTCTTTTGCTCTATCCGAGAATCATAAATAACGTTTGAGAAGAAGAACCTGGTAGCTATCAATTTTCTCTAGATAATTGATAAGAATGAACCCCAACAAATCAATGTCTCCTCTCATCTGTTTCATATTTTTATCTTCCTTCAAATTTTCTAAGGTGGCCTGACGCAAAAAGAGATTATAGTAGATTAATATTTCTAGACTCTCTTGTTACTCTAAGAAACTTTAAAAGTAGAAAATAAATGAACACAAGGAGACCAAGTAATTCTCATATTTGGAGATACAAAGTGAGAATGATGCAATGTTGTTTGGTATTTTGGTCACAATATCAATCAGAGAATGATGCAATGTTGTTTGGCCTTTTCCTCTAGTTCCTTGGTCATTTTTTCAGCCTTCTCTAGATCCTCCCTCAGCTTCTTAACTACATCAGTTGAATGTTCCTCAGCTTCCTTTGCTCTTCTCTCCAATTCAAGTCTCGCAGCTTGCTCTTCATTCAGCTTCTTTACTACATCAGTTGAATGTTCCTCGGCTTCCTTTGCTCTTTTCTCCAATTCAAGTCTCGCAGCTAGCTCTTCGTTCAGCTTCTTTACTACATCACTTGACTGTTTCTCGACTTCGTTGGCTCTTTTCTCCAATTCAAGTCTCGCAGCTTGCTCTTCGTTCAGCTTCTTTACTACATCACTTAATTGCATATCGGCTTCCTTTGCTCTTTTCTCCAATTCAAGTCTTGCAGTTTGCTCTTCGTTCAGCTTCTTTACTACATCACTTGACTGTTTCTCGACTTCCTTTGCTCTTTTCTCCATTTCAAGTCTTGAAGCTTGCTCTTGGTTTAGCTGCTGCTCTAGCCTCTCTTTTGTCTCTCTCAGCTGAGTCTCCACCTAAGCAAGGAATTCAGAGGCATGTTACAAAGGAATCATCAAGTTTTAAATACAGATCACAAAAAAAAATTCTACACAAATGTAAAAGAAATATGGAATATGGAAAACTCCATAACACATTACCCTCTCCATCATTTGCCTGAGCTGCTGATTTTCAAAAGACCTCTCCATATCTTTCAGCTTTTGAGACATCTCTTGTTTTGTGTACCAGCCCTTCATTTCTAAAATATCCCTCTGCTTTATCTGGAATGCAGTCTCATTTTCCTGAGAAGAAAATGTAATACCGATAAGCGATATAATCAAAAGGCGGGATGTGTATTCAAAAAAATCATTTCTCTCACCCTTAGTTCGTGAGATAAATCATCCATGAAGGGTTTCCCATTCTTCCTTGCAATCTCTTCAACATAGTTTAGGAGCTCCTGAACTTGCTTAGCTTTCTGACTCTCATGGGCTTTGGCCTTGTTTTGAAACAACACCTTGCGGTCATTGCAGGCCTTGAAAATTTCCTATAACATTAAATAATTCAATAAGAGACACTAAACCATGTTTTCAAGATCTTTGGTAAGAATAAAGAAAGAAACACTAACCTTGAAATCAGGAGAGTCTTCCAAGTATTCCTCAAATGTGTCACCATCCTCCTCAAGAGAATCTTCATTTGTTAAAACAACAATCATGTAGTCTACAATCTTGCTTCCAAACAAAATCTTTAATGCGAAAAGCGCAGATTTCTCCTCTTCTGTTAGCCGGTTTCTCAAGGAAAATACCAAAAGGACTGCATCAATCCCTTCTTTGGTCAGAGAGAAGCACCTTAAGAGCTCTCTGCACGTAAACTCGGTGGATGGAGACAGACTAAATAGACCTGCAAAGGTTTAAGATTGTAAATATCATAGAAGACTCATTGGTTTGATAGTTCTTTGTTTCATACACATTACCAGGAGTATCAATAACATTGATGATCTGGCCATTGGGTAGAATTGAACTCTGTGACTCACAGACTGTAGTCACCCCTGATGCACGGCCTTTTGACTTGAAGGCGGGTTTTCCAAGAATGCTATTCCCTGTCGCGCTTTTCCCGTTACCTGAACGCCCTACCAAAAGTAGGGTTCTTGCAGGTTTCTGCTCTAAACGTAACTCACAAGAAACCTCCAAAACAGAACCATCATCTGGCAAAGTTTCAGTCACCATAGGGAACTCTGTCAAACCAACCTCCATAACCAGTCCATCCCCTGGCATAGTTTCTGTCACCATTGGCAACTCAGTCAAACCAACCTCCAAAACCGGTCCATCTTCTGGCAAAGTTTCTGCCACCATTGGCAACTCTGTCAAACCAACCTCCATAACCGGTCCATCCCCTAGCAAAGTTTCTGCCACCATTGGCAACTCTGTCAAACCAACCTCCATAACCGGTCCATCCCCTAGCAAAGTTTCTGCCACCATTGGCAACTCTGTCAAACCAACCTCCATAACCGGTCCATCCCCTAGCAAAGTTTCTGTTACCATTGGCAACTCTGTCAAATCCAAAGATATTCATGTCAAACAAAGAACAAGGAAACCTTGTATGAAAGATAAACTGATTTAGGGTAAACTTTCATGAGGGGCGGATCACTAAAGCAAACAGCTTTTCTTTACAAAAACATTACATTTAGAAGAAAATTTGACTTGAGTATATCTTTATTTGCTCCTATTTTTTTAAGGCTCACTTTCTTTAAGATAAGCTCGAACTCTATTTTATCAGAAATACATAAAATCAATTTCTTCTATGAAATCAGCAAAACACATATTTATATTTTGATTTTACCAGAGAGAAATAGATTCAAAGAGTTTAAAGATACAGAGCCTTACCTGCAGGATCAGTAAAGAAATTATGTGCTGTTAGTGTTTCAGGTTTCTGCTGTAAACCTAAATCACAAGTAACCTCCAAAACAGAACCATCCTCTGGAGAAGATTCCGGCACCACTACAAACTCAGAGAAATCCAAATTTCCTATAAACATAAAACAAATAACATGACAAATATGTAAATAGATTTACATACACATGCATGCTTCTCAAAAACAAAAAGGAAGGAACAAAAAGTTATGTGGATCCTCTGTTTTCTTAGAAATGCAGAGAATCAGTTTCTTCTCTTAGACTAGTTATACTGTATTAATTTCATTATGGACTAAGATTCTCTTCTTATTGCTTAAAGTCATGAGTGAGAGAAATAGATTCAAAGAGAATAAAGAACCAAATACATACCAGCAGGATCAGTTGAGAATTCTTCTATTACTACTCCTCCACCCATTTGAAAAGTGTACAAGTTTCTACTAAACGAGATCTCTACACTATCTTTGAGAGGTTAATGGGTTTTATATGTATAGAAAGAAAGCAAAACGAGATCTCTAGACTTTCTTTCTCGTTTCTCAAGAACTTATTTGAACCTTATGATTGGTTATAAAAAAAGATTTAAGTACAAAAAAGAAAGAAAGGAATATCAACAGTCTCCTCTACATTCAATTGAGGATAATGGATTAATGGTGTTTAGTCCCAATGAGTGTTTTTCTTGTCTCGAGAAGTCATAGAGGACAGTTTTATGTTAATGGAGACGTTATAGTTCCAATATACTAGATAATCTCTCCAAAAAACAAGTTAGTGATAAACCAGTAAAAGCTTCTAATTTTAAACCAATTCTCCACTAATATATGAAGAAAAGCCCACTAAGGATACTAACAGCTTTGTCCAGAAAAAAAAAAAAAGGATACTAAACAGCAAATTCATACGGTACAATGAGAAAAATATAATGTTCTTAAGAAAAAACATTCACTAGGAGACATCATAAGGAGGAAAAAAACAACTTTGCCAATTTGGTCTAGGATCAAAGATTGAATGTAGACAAAGATGCATGTGTATATGTAGTTATAGAATATTACTCCGAGGTTGAGGATGGAAATATATATTCAAAGATGCACTTTTTGTCATGTTTGGCGCGCAAGAAATCTCTCTTTCATGGCCTTGTCTAAATGTTCATCTCAGCTTCCTGATCTCATCAGCCGTTAGAGTCTGAGTTTCGTTCTTCATTGTCTCAGCTTCCTCTCTTGTGGCTTCTAACTTCTTTAGTTGTTCTTTCACATCCCTCAAAGATTCTTTTAACTTATTAGAGACCTGTCCAGAGACAGCAAAACCAACATATAAAGATGTAAACATCACATACGCATGAACCAAAGATACGATAACCGATAAATGTATTACCCCTCTCCTCCATTCCCTTGAGCATTTTCTTATATGACTTCTGTAACTCCTTCAACTGAGATGTCTATACATTGTTCTAACAAATTCATCTTTGTCTGACTCCAAATTCGTCTCTTCAGCCTTTATTCCTCGGTTTGCTCCAAAATGCTCCCTTATCTCCAAATTCCTGAAAAGACTCTAAAAAAACTCGAGAAATAATAAAAAGACTCTAAAACCAATACATATATTATGATTAAAAACCGTAAAAACCATGATATATCAATAACCATTATTAATAACATTGCCAAATTTTTACAAAACTTAATTCAGCAATTATCCCCTACAATATGATTATAAACTGTAACATTTTTCATAGTGATGGGTCGAGATATTTAACCATATAACCTATCAAAAGAAATGAATTTACATGTTGATCCGATCTATTTAAATTTGATAGATTCATGGATTAACCCAATTAATTTAGCTTATAATTCATTTAACACTTAACTATTTAATATAATATATTACATTGGATTACTCTCAATTTAGAAACATGTGAAAAAAATTAATTGAATAAAAATTAATACAAATTATGAAAATCAAAAATGAAAAGTAAAATTAAAATTTTATCGAAAATCAAATAATAATATTTGACTGATTGTAGAAGAAATGGAAAGTAACTTCATAAATTTTATTTTAAAGTTTTTTCTTACAAGTATTTTTGTGGTGTTAATGTTTTAATCCCCTTTTGAGTTTTTACATTGTGGTGTTCATGTTTTGTCAAAAAGACCAGCAAAATGGTACAATTTTTGATTTTTTTAGCGACCTGAAATAAATCAATCAAAATCAGGATCTCAAATAGACTACAAAGGGATGACTATTAACATATAATGATGTAATTAGGTAGATTTAAGTTTCCTTTAGCTTAAGTCTCCTTATTATGATCATGTATATAAAGAAACCATATGTTTACATTTCTAATTAATGAGAATTCAATTTGACTCACAATGAGTTAATATGGTATCAGAGAGAGAACATGGTAAGCAAAACATGGAGTGTGGTTTCATTACCTCCTGGTAAGAATGTAGTAGGCTACAAATGGGTCTACACTATTAAATACAATGCCGATGGTAGCATTGAAAGGTATAAGGCTCGTTTAGTTGCTAAAGGATACACACAACAGGAGGGAGTAGACTACATTGATACTTTTTCTCCTGTAGCTAAATTGGCTAGTGTGAAATTAATACTTGGTTTAGCAGCTAAACAGGGCTGGAGTCTGACTCAGATGGATGTTACTAATGCTTTTTTGCATAGTGAATTAGAAGAAGAAATTTACATGAGTCTTCCTCAAGGATATACAACGTCTGCAGAACTTCCACCAAATCCAGTTTGTCGATTACACAAGTCTATCTATGGTTTGAAGCAAGCTTCTCGACAGTGGTATAAGTGCCTTTCTAAAGCACTGCTGGATAATGGCTTCACTCAATCATATGCAGACGTAACTATGTTTGTCAGACTTACAGGTACATCTTTCATAACCATACTGGTTTATCTAGATGATATTCTAATAGTAAGCAATGATGATGCGTCTGTTAGCTCTATTAAGATCAATTTAGCCCGACTGTTTAAGATAAAAGATCTTGGTCCAGCTAGATTTTTCTTGGGATTAGAGATTGCAAGGAATTCTCAGGGAATATCAGTATGTCAGAGAAAATATTGTCTTGATCTTCTTGCTGATACTGGTTTACTGGGATGTAAACCAAAGTCTGTTCCTATGGATCCTAAAGTCAATCTCACCAAAGATACTGGTACATTACTTGAAGATGGAAGACCCTTCAGAGAGCTTATTGGTAGATTACTGTATATCTGCATAACAAGACATGATATTACATTTTCAGTTCATAAACTGAGCCAGTTCTTATCATGTCCCACTGACATTCATCTTCATGCTGCTCATGATGTTCTCAAGTATCTGAAAAATAATCCAGGCCAGGGATTATTTTACTCTGCTTCGACAGAGTTATGCCTCAATAGTTTTGCAGATACTGATTGGGGAACCTGCTTGGATACTAGACGATGTGTTACTGGTGTTTGTACTTTTCTTGGTCATTCTCTCATTTCATGGAAGTCCAAGAAACGGGAAACAGTGAGTGGTAGCAGTACTTAAGCTGAATACAGAGGTATGTCTGTGGCAACAAAGGAACTACTTTGGTTCAGTCAGATGTTGAAGGATCTTCATATACAAGTCACTACTAAGCCAAAGCTCTTTTGTGATAATAAGTCGGCTCTGCACATAGCTAATAACCCAGTATTTCATGAACGTATCAAGCATGTGGAGATAGATTGTCACACGACCCGTGATCAAGTGAAGAATGGTTTTATGAAGGTTTTCCATGTGTCTACGAATAATCAACTTGCCGACATTTTGACTAAAGCCTTGCATCCGGGTCCATTCTACTCCATACTCAACCGATTGTCTGTGTCAAGCCTCTTCTTACCTAAGGATGATTCGGCTTGAGGGGGGTGTATTAACATATAATTATGTAATTAGGTAGATTTAAGTTTCCTTTAGCTTAAGTCTCCTTATTATGATCATGTATATAAAGAAACCATATGTTTACATTTCTAATTAATGAGAATATAATTTGACTCACAATGAGTTAATAATGACATTACTGTTATGGCTATTCTTCTTTCGAAAACCTACAATATGCAATGAACCATGGGATGCCAAGACGAGATGATTGGAAGGGTATTAGGTGTTGAGATTACAGGTTCCATGATGGTGTTCTCGGTGACGACGTGAGACTCAAGCATCCACCTAAATTAACTGCTTAAAAATCATGGCACCACTCATCGGGAGTGTGTCAATCACAGTGCTGATACTTCCATCATCGATCATAGTAGAATTTGCCTCACATATTACCCCAAGCGAAGACGTCCATCTATTGAAATTCTGAAAATTTGATTTTATAAATTCATTTACATCTATTAAAATCCTAAATATTTGATGAGTGGTATCATATGATTTATGAGATTTTGATAATTAAGTGATAAGATTTAGAGTTGATTTGATATTTTCTCGTATTTAACTTTTCGTATAGTGGTAGGTTGGGTGCACATAGGTTGCACTTAGCTTATGTTTAAGCTTAAAGATATCATGTGGCGGTTTGCTATTGGCGGTCATTAGATAGAGATTAATCATGTGATGTGAGTTTAACACAACACCTATATGACAACTCATGTATCATTCGTTTAGGTTAGTATAAAACTATTTAGATTATGCAAATATTAAACGAAAAAATAAAAATAGTTAGGATTTGGTTTCAGATGAATCTATACTCTATTAATATGTACCGTAATAATATGAATCAAAGTAAGTGCCTAAAATCATGAGTGAGTAATGATCTGGTTTGTTTATGCAAAAGGTTAAAGTCTCAGGTTCTAATTTGATGTGGTTAATTCAAATTGATTAGGTCCGGTGACAGAATCATCGAAAATTATTATATCTTCCGTCTATCAGCCAAGCCAACACATATATTTGAGGTTAGGCACAAATGATTGTTTAGCATGTTATGCATTTGAATCATATGAACTTGAATCGTCTAACATTTGTTTGTATAGACTCGAATCATATTGGTTTATATCTTATATAATTGATTTGTATGCTTGAAGGAGAGAATCATATGACATATAATTCATGGTTTAGAGAATTATGATAAGTTGTAGCATGTTAGTAGTAAAATATTTGATGATAAATGTATACTATAATGAGTAATTAGCATGTTCAAATTACATCTTAAGGAAAGAGTCATACGCCATAAAATGAGTACTTGAGAATTTGGTATAATTGAAGTAGTTAGATAGATGCATGCATGATCCTATTACATGGATAATCATGTATGGGTTTATAAAGTGTCTGAGTTTCGTTCTTTGTCTCAGCTTCCTCTCTTGTGGCTTCTAACTTCGTTAGTTGTTCTTTCACATCCCTCAAAGATTCTTTTAACTGATTAGAGACCTGTCCAGAGACAACAGAACCAATATATAAAGATGTAAACATCACATATGCATGAACCAAAGATATGATAACCGATAAATGTATTACCCTTCTCCTCCATTCCCTAGAGCATTTTCTTATATAACATATGTAACTCTTCAACTGAGATGTCTCTGCATTGTTTTAAAATGATCCGACAGAGCTAGTAGGAATCTCTGCATTTGAGTTTGTCTAAAATGTTTTTTTTACAAATGCATGTCTACCTCTCTATTTGAGTTTCATTCCTTAAGCCTCTTCCTTCCAATTGGACATCTCTTGTTTTGTGTAGTGACCCTTGATGACTTGGATGATGATGTGGACACCCTTGATGGAGAGACAACTCTCCCATTATTTATAGTTTTAATGTTTTTTGTTTTAATAAATAAAATATGTTGAGCCCACACAAAATTAAAATATGATGACTTGGATGATGATGTGGACACCGTAGATGATTATATATATATATATATATGACTCCCATTATATATATAGATTATATAAAGTGAACACAAGGAATATCAGGAGTCTTCTCTACTCTCAATGGAGGAAATCCTTAACTGTCTACATCAGAATCCATGTCAGCATAATTTATCTTTCTGTGGGACTAGGGCCGGGCCAAATGAATTTAGTGGCTGAAGCAAAAAGAAAATTTTTAGCCCATTAACAAAAACTAAATTTTCTTATTTTAACAAAAAAAAATGCAAATCTATGGTTCGAACTCGTCACATTAAAGGAGCATAAAAGCACAGATTACCACTGCACCACCGCAACTTACCAGAAATTGATGCCCCATAAATACTTAATAAACTTTGGCGCCTAAAACCCTTGCTTTACGGGGGTTTAGCCTAGGACCGGCCATGTGTGGGACTTACATATCTTATTTGTTATAACTTTAAAACTAAAATTAATGAATACATTTTATATTATCTTTCATTGAAGAAACCAATAAGTCACAAAATATGAAGGAAAAAATGACTAATATAAATTTAATTTTTATCTTTCCTCTAATCATTTATTCCCTGTTCAAAAACTTTGGTTCAAACAACTCTCCCAGACACGAGTCTCGGAAAACCTGAAAGAAATAAATAGTTTCAAAATTTATAGATCTTAACCACTTTTTTTAGCTATTTTCGGAAGTTTTTGCTCTTTCTTTCGTCGAGTCGAAGCTTCCCTTCCCTGAGATTCTTCCAATGGTTTTCTCCCTGGCTAGCCTCTCCTCTTCTTCCCCTGGCTCCTCCCGTTAGATTTCTATCTGTCTTTTTCTCTGTTACATGCCTTCACTTTGCAACCTGCATTTTCTCAAAGTGGTAACCACATGGTTTCATCTTTGACCCTCTCAGTCAAAGGCCCTGTCTTCTCTCTTCACAGTTCTTGGGTTTCTCCTCAAGCTGTTTTCTTTTGAATGTGAAGAAAGATCTTCATCTCCCCTGACGATCTTCCTACAAAAGCAGAGACTCTTTGCTTTTTTTCTCACTCTTTCTAGCTTTAAGCTAAGATCTGTCCTTCTTTGTTTAATTTTTTCTCTCACAATGTCAAAGAAAGAAAGACCAAGCTGGTAAAGGGAATCTCCTCCCAAAGCAAGCTCCCTTTGTCTTTGAGCTTGAGGATGAAAATGATGTGGTGATTCTCCCCCAAGTGGATAACACAGCTCTATTAGCCCATCTCCAACTTAGCCTTGTAGGGCAAATGTTCCATAAAGGTGGACGCAGTATTGAAGCCTTGGTAGCTCTTCTCCCTAAAGAGCACATATGGGATGTTGAAGGACGGGTCCGTGGAGTCTCTCTCGGTGATTCACGATTCCAGTGCTTCTTTGAGACAGAAGCAGATCTGCAAAAGATCCTCAACAAACGTCCTTGTCATTTTAACAAGTGGTCTTTTGCTCTTGAAAGGTGGAAACCTCACATTGGAACTTCTTTCCCTGATAGCATGACTTTCTGGGTCAAAATTGAAGGAATCCCTAATCCTCTCACATTAGATGATGGAACAAAAGTACAAGACCTTTAACTACAAACTAAAAAAAACTCATAAGCCATCTATAATCTTGGCCATCTCCATCTCCAAATGCATCATCTCATAATGGTCCAGTGCGTGTAACAATTTAACTCAATTCATTTTATTTTATTTTTATAAAAACAATCTTCAAATGCCGAGAGTGAATGAAACTATCACTCAAGGTTTATATTAATCTTTGAAGATTTAAATAACCATTACAACAAAAGTTTAATATAATGGTTATTTTAATCTTCAAAGATTAATATAATTATTACATTTTTTGTTCTCATTAGTTTATAGTAATAATAATGAGAACAAAAATGTCGAAACACACAAGAAATCAAAAACCCATGAAATATCCCACACAAATAGACGAAACAATTAACATTCTTTGGCTGCTTTGTCTTAAATCTGAATCGTCCTTATTCTTCCTAATTAATGACACCATTTTGCTTCTTCTTCCTCTACCTCTCCTCTCTATCCCCAAGTCAAGATCTTTTCAATTCATGGACAAAAACTCGTGAAACTTCTTGAATTTCCAATAAAATCCACTTCTGTGGGCTAAATTCAAGGATTTGTAAAAATGGGTAACAGAGTAATCTGCATGAAGAAGAAAGATGTTGTTCTCAGAAGTGGAGGAGATGGATCCAGAAGCAAGAGAGTGAATCGTTCACAGAGGAAGTTGCTTGCTGATGAAGAGAGTTTGCATCGACAAGCTTTGTCTATGGCTATTCATCAAGCTCAGGTTTCTCAAAGATTTGATGGATCCATGTCTAGACGTATCGGGTCTACTAGCTCTAGAAGAGGAACACTCTCTGACCCATTTGCTAATAGCAAGCAGGTCCAACCTTTTTTTGTATAACAATGATAAAGTTTGGATTTTTAAACTATTTTTCTTGTTCTCCTATTTTATAATGATTTAGAGGAAAAATCTGTAATTTTGAGGAGATTGATCAAAAGTGTTTAAAGGTTAAAACTTTGATATTGACATTAGGTTGGGACCAAAGAAGTATAGTAGAGCAGAACAAGTGTTTTCAAAAGTTCTTTTAGTGGCTTTGCTTTTTAAAAGTTGTGATCAGGACAAAGATGGAGAAAAGAAGCTTCCTTTTGGTTATTGCAATAAGTTTTTATTGGCACTCTCTAAATGTCATTGCTTTTTTAAATTGGCACTACTTGTTACTATGAGAATAGAAAACATTTTTTAAGTTCGGTTTTAGTGATGCTAGTTATTATTTTTTCTCTTTAGGTACCTGAGTTTTTGGAGAGCTTGACGGTTAAGAAATTCGTTTTGGTTCATGGTGAAGGATTTGGGGCATGGTGTTGGTACAAAACTATTGCTTCATTGGAAGAGTCTGGACTATCTCCTGTTACAGTTGATCTGGCTGGTTCTGGATTTAATATGACTGACGCGAATAGCGTTTCCACCTTAGAAGAATATTCAAAACCGTTGATCGAGCTCCTTCAAAGTCTTCCCGAGGAAGAAAAGGTTAGAAAATGCTCCATATAGAGAGTTAGATATATGTCGGAACTTGTAAGGAGCTGTCAATGTCTTACTACATTAAACCTCAGATGTTTTGGTTTCTTTAACATTTGGGTCAGTTTTGTAATATGAACTAGGAAGCATTTACCATAGGCTGTCTGGCTGTGACAGATGAAGAGTTGTGACTAGGGCTATAAAATCAAGTTATGCGATCTTTTGTGTGTTATTGTAAGATCAAATACTCGGTTTCTTGGAAGGCGTTTTCCATTTGAGTTTTCTAAGGAAGGCTTACAATTTCAATGTGAATTGTAGTGTCATCTTGATTTTTCATTTTGAATATACTTGTGTGAATCAATAAGTGTTGATTGTTGTAGGTAATTCTGGTGGGTCACAGTACTGGAGGTGCATGTGTTTCGTATGCGTTAGAGCGGTTTCCAGAGAAAATCTCAAAAGCTATATTCATATGTGCAACTATGGTTACTGATGGACAAAGACCCTTTGATGTCTTTGCTGATGAGGTAACACTAGCAAAATTTCATTTACACATGCTTCTTGAACGTATTTTGATCTCTTAATCTCATTAAGATACATAATTAACTTAAGGATACATTTACATTTCTCAGTTTGCAAAAAGATATAGATTTGTTTAGAAATCATATAAGAAATTGTCGACAAAAACATTGGTTGTGGAGTCATTTGATTTCAATGCAACCAATACTTATGTAATAAGCGTTTCCGCGACCCTGTGGATACAAATTGATGAAAAAGTCGGTAGTTAGCTCTCTTCTCATCTTGTGAATATTCCTTGTTTCTGTGTTTGCCCTCACACATTGGACACCGTCTTCATTGCAGCTTGGTTCAGCAGAACGGTTCATGAAAGAGTCGCAGTTCTTGATCTATGGAAACGGCAAAGACAAGCCCGCAACGGGGTTCATGTTTGAGAAACAACACATGAAAGGCTTGTACTTCAATCAGTCACCCAATAAGGTAAACTCTTACAACAACAGCCCCAATCTAGAGTGGTTCAAGTTCTGTTTTTATAGATAGGCCTAATGCAACAAGTGATCAATTTTTCGGTTTTAAAAATGTTTCAGGACATTGCATTGTCGACGATCTCGATGCGGCCTGTACCATTAGGTCCCATGATGGAGAAGCTGTCACTTAGTGCAGAAAGATATGGGAAAGGTCGAAGATTCTATGTTCAGACGCTCGATGACTTGGCTCTTTCACCGGACGTTCAAGAGAAACTGGTCAGAGAAAATAGTCCTGAAGCAGTTTTTAAGATCAAAGGAAGTGATCATTGCCCTTTCTTCTCTAAACCTCAGTCTCTTCACAAGATCCTTCTTGAGATAGCTCAGATTCCTTAAAAAGACACAAATCTTGAATTCAGAATGTATAATACTTTCATTTTTTTTCATACGCGTTTGTATATTCTTATTTACGATTAATATACGAAACAAGATTCTTGTTAGAGATTATTTAGAGTAATTGCATTCAGTGGCAAAAACTTAAAAATTTATTAAATAAATGGCTAGGGAACCGGAGATGTGCCTTTAGTCAGGTGGTTAAGTCCATTTGACTCCGCCTTCTCCACCGGAGTTCGACTCCAGTAAGTCGCGTTACCCCGTGTAGTAGGGATTGGCTATGGATCGGGCCTTGTCGATCCAAAGATGTCAAAAAAAAAAATGGCTAGGAAACAAAAGGAACTTTAGGTAAATAGTTAAAAATAAAAAATAAGGGTTTTCTATATATAAAAAAAAAACTTTCCAAATTATCAATTTTTGCAATTTTACGCTCTTTTTTTTAAAAAATGCACGGCAATCTACAAAATAAAAATAATACATAATATATAATCCATATTTACATTTCATGTAATTGTTATAAGATGGGTGATTTTTTTTTATATAGCAATACTTGATTAATCCTGATATTAATAAAGTTCAACAGTGCAGGGCCATGTAAACATCATTTGTCTTTTTTTTTTTTTGACATCTTTGGATCGACAAGGTCCGATCCATAGCCAATTCCTACTACGCGGAGTAACGCGATTTAGTGGAGTCGAACTCCGGTGGGGAAGGCGGAGTCAAGTTGACTTAACCACTTGACTAAAGGCACATCTCCTGTAAACATCATTTGTCTATCAATTTTAAAAATTTATCAGAAGTTTTATGCTTTTATTTAATTATTTTTATATTGTATCTATTACGACTTACTTACTTACTAATCTTCAAAACCAGCTTCCAAACTATCGGTTTTTTTAAATTCAAATTTCATACATGAATTACCAAACATGATGCGAAAACCAACATTGATTTAGACGCAGTTGCGGAGCCAAAATTTCTGATGAAAACCCTACATTAATTGCCGATAACTTTCACAATTTCTGATGATTAAAAATCCCCTACATACGAGAATTTTAAAAGAACTATAAATTGGTCTGAGATTTTAATTTCTTTCTTTGACTTAATGTTTTCATTGTCAAAGATTCAAATTAACTTTTGGTATTGTTGGAGTAAGCTTGAAGTAGAAGTGACTTGAGCAATAAGTTACTAATTGATTGAAGAGATAATATTAAATCTTTGGGAGTTATCCATTGATATTTGTTTGTTTTTATCTAAAACAAATCATAATCGGCTTAGGATTAGGTTTTATAAATCTCTATATAAGAGTTGTCAAAGCTTGTGGTAAACCTTAAGAGAATTGAGAGAGAGATTGAGGGAAAGCTTTAGTTTGAGTTATTTCTAAAGTTAATAAAGAAGTGCTTTATTAATACTTGATCAAAGTATTTGATTCTAGAGGTACCCTTTTTGTTGTATGAAGATGGGCATTGATATGATGTACGACGAGTCAAAACCCGTATCATCCTCAAACCCTAGCCAAACTCTAGTTCTGGTCGGTCGTACTGGAAACGGAAAGAGTGCGTTAGGGAACAGTATTCTTGGAAGAGAGGCGTTTGTGTCAAAAGCAAGTTGTCTTGGAGTCACCAACACATGTCAGTCAGAAAGAGTTGTGCAAGATGATGGCCAAATCATCAATGTGATAGATACTCCTGGTGAGTACTGCTTCTGATATATATATTAATGTACTCTTTTGAAGCATAAATCGATTCCTTTTATATGTGGATATAGGTGTGTTGTTTATAATTTAGCCAAAATACAATTAAGCAAAGTCAGATTGACTACAATTTACTTGTAATGGTGTGAATTTTACAGGTCTGTTTCAATTGTCAAGGGCAGCCGCCTCTATCGGTAAACAAATTTTGAGGTGCATAACATTAGCTGAAAATGGAATCCATGCTATCCTGTTGGTGTTCTCTGTGAGGGATCGTATTACAAAAGATGAGAAAGTGTTTAGTCACTTGCAAACCCTTTTCGGCAGTAGAATCGCTAACTATATGATAATTGTCTTCACGGGTGGCGATGAATTGGAAGAGAACGAAGAGACGTTGGAGGATTATTTGACTCAAGAGTGTCCACAATTCCTAAAAGTGAGTGTGCTTCATGTTTTTATATTTTACCCGTTATTATTGAAAACTTGAGATGTATAATGAAGATATTATATATAAATCTGATTTTGAATTGAATTGAATTGTATGTTGTAGGAAATTCTTGAGCTATGTGACAACAGATTGGTATTGTTTGATAACAAGACCAAGGATAAGCTCAAGCAGGTTGAGCAAGTTCAGAAGCTTCGTGCACTTGTTGAGTTGGTTGCAAAGCAAAACAATGGTAAACCGTATAGGGAAGAGTTATTCAATGAACTACAGGTAATATCATGGTTTTCTTCTTTGACTTTTAAGTCTTTAATCTCTTTTTATGGCTTTGTCGAGGCACAGAGATGCTACTTCTTATTCATGAGTATTTGTTACAATGTTATTTTATGATGTTTGCTGAAGATATTCATGCTAGGAAGTAAGCACTTGTGTAAGTCTAAGTCGACTAACTTGGAAAAATTAGATATTATTCTGCAAAATCTTGATTTCTATTATTCATCAAATTGAAAACATTAAACAAAATAAAAAACTCCTCTTTAATACTTGGCTCAGGTGGAGACTACGCTGATCAGAGAAACCGAAATGACGCTAGAGCAGCAACTAGCTCAAGGGCAATCTGCAAGACTTGACGTCGGAGAAAGCGCTACCGATCGAAATCCAAAAACACACCATGGATGGGTTTAAAAGAGACAAAGGAACTCCATAAAAAGTTGGGAAAATATATCAACCTATGATAATAACTGCACAGCTTAGATTTCGTATCCTTCATTCTACTTTTATATGTGTTTTTTTTTTCCGTCTACATCTTGTTAATTTTATGATATAAAGACAAAATTCTTTGATGCTAGTTTTCTTTTTATGGTGTTTGCTTGCTTCTATTGTTTTATATTTATATATTTTACTAGTGACCCATAATTTGTGTTTAATTACTAGAATGGCATACCAAAAATATGGGTTATATGGGTAATATTTATGACTAAAATGCCCATGTTTTGCTTTGTAAAGAAAAAACATATTACAAGAATGCCATTAATATTTAATTCCAGCGTGGCAAAAAATACAATTTATTTACGATACTGCCACTCTCGTTTTTGTTAAATATGTGGCTCCTGTTGCGACAGATTTATTTAGTACGACAGATTATTTGATCCACCACAGACTTTCTTCGACAGACTTTTTTTGTACCACAGACTATGTTTGATTTAGTAATGACAGATTTATATTTTTCCGCAGATTTTTTTTTCGCGACAGATTTGTTGTATGTTGTATCCACAGATTTTCCTAAAATTTTTAGATTCTCAATGGTTATAAAACAAATCTGCCACAGATTTGTTTTCCAACCGCATACTTTTCTTTATTTTGGCAACAGATTTTAGGATTTTTAAAAAAACTGTCGTTTTATAACAGATTTTTTAACACAAAAAATTGATATATAATGATGACAGAGTTGTTTTATGTATTCGCAGATTTTCTTTATTTGTTGACAAATCTGGCGTTTTATAGCAGATTTTTTAAAAAATATATAATTACTAAACAGTCGCATAGTGATAACAGATTTGTTTTTAGTTATGACAGTTATGTTTTTTGGACCCTAAGCATAACAGATTTTCTCATGTCATGTTATGACCGATTTGTTTCTAACTAGAATAACCTTTTTAGTGTTGATAGACTTTTGGTTGGCAGATTTGTTTTTGAAATTTCAAAAAATCGTGTTATATGAGATTTAATATCTAGCCTCAAATTCGACAGAACTCCAAATCTTGCCGGTTTGCTTGTATGTTTAAACCGGTTTGATTGCGTTTAGTTACGACAAACTTTTATTATCTCTGACAGATTTATACAAATTATTGCCATAATTGACGTTTAATGCATTAAATTCCTAATATTTAGAGAAGGAATATTCTTCTAGGGCTTTTGCTCCAGAAACGGTTTTTGTTTTTGTCTTCTTCTTTTACGCTTACTCACTGTCTCACGATTTCATCTTTTATTTTTTCTTCCTTTTCGGGATCAAATTTGCTTCAATTGTTTCTGTTCTCTTTTTGATCCCTCACGATTTCATCCCTCTCCTTCTATTTGAGTGTCGTTCCATATTTTTTTTTTGTTTTTCTTCTTTTTGATTGTTGTGAGATCGAAGTCCAAGGAATTGGGCATGGATCAGGTGATTCTTGTGTGTGGAAAATAGATCTTTGAGAAAACGAAGTGGCTTTTTGTCGTTGATAATAGTAAAGGTTGTGGCGTAAGATGGACATGTCGTTGATCCCAAATGTAAGTAAACAACCATTAAACCAATGTTTAGCCTAATATTCCTCTTCCTAGATATCATTTGAAAGTAATATAGATTGAATAATGGAATCGTATACGTGATGGATCATATATTTGGCCTCTGGCCTCTCGTATCACTAAACACTATAGATTTTCTTAAGTTTTATTAGAACAAACAACTTTGTGTCTCGTAGTACCAATTAGATGACTTAATGGAACCGAAGATTTGTTTTATTTTGGATCTTTAAGGTAGTGAAACTGATGCTTTTTTTTATCAATAACATCATAATATTGTTACGGTAAAAAGATGTAAAAACCAAAATCCAAATATTTTAGAGAAAGTACAGAAAGCAAATCTAAAAAGCAGTAGGAAACCGATATATTGTAATTGTTTCTTGATTTTCTCAAAGATCAGCAAAGACCGTGAATATGTTACCATTGATGTAATAGTAGCTGTTCTTCACCTGCATTTTTGGATCAAAGTGTCCATTAGTCATTTTAAATAAACCATAGTCAAGAGCAATATATGAACTTACCTCTTCGAGCAAGTTTCTGGAAGGGTCAGCTTCTGGGTACAAGTTAGCCCAGCATCTTCACCAAGTCCTAAATGCTTCATCCTTCCAGACTTTGAAGCTAGCGGGATCGACAATGGTTGGTTGAATGATTTCCTTAGCCGGGAAAACTCCCCATGTAACAGCATTCACATCAGATTGGGCAGTGTTCGATACCCAGTTTTCTCCTTTGTTCACAGCCATGTAAGTAATCGATGGCAAAGCTTTGCATTTCTCCACCACTGCATCTAATTTCTCCTTTGAGCAGAAGAACTCTAGATAAGCCTTTTGGTATACATATCCAACAGGACCTCCCCACCCTGCAAATCATACAGTATCGATGAAGCAGTGATCAAAACTCTGAAACACTATTTTCTATGAGAACAGAGACTTAATGGGACTGAATCCTCACCAACAGTTAGGGAATCAGATCTCTCGGCGTTGACTGATGGTTGGCTGTTGATGGTCAAGAAGCCTTTGGAGTTGATTTTTACCAGTTGCTCGTTTATTATCTTTGTCTCTGGCTGGAGTCCATCTAATTCAGACCAGGGACTGCTTTTAAGGTTTCCAAGGCTGCTGAAAACAAGAGAAAACGAGGACACCGAAGAAGAGTTACAGTCACCACGAGATAAGCAAAACAGAGGGGAAAGGAAACCAAAACGTCTCGCCAGAGATCGAGTCGCCGGCGAAGAAAAACCACCGGAGAAGAAAGCAATTACGGCGACTCAACAACCAACGGAGGTTCCACAGCGAGTGAAGCTTTCGACATGCATTTGGACGGAAGATTAAGACTATCAGAGAATCGACAGCGACTTCAAACAACGACTCGACGGTGACCAAGGATTTCTAGGGTTTTTTTGGGAGAGAAATCGTGGAGTTTGAAGAGAAGAGAAGAGTGAATGTCGTCGTTTTATTTATTGATTAATATTAGTTTAATTTCTTTTTTTTGTTTTAATTAAATTATAATGGCATGATTGTTATTAATGTTAATCAAGAAGGTTAATTAGACTTTCTACTTCAAATATGGGTTAGTCTAGTAATCCAAATCAAATGGGTGTCATTTAAGTTATTTTTCCTAAGTTATGAGTCATTCTAGGTAAATCTCAGTATCCTTTATTTGTATCCATAATACTTGGTTTTGAATGAATGTTGGTCATCCAATATTTTAGGGCGGACAATAAAACGTAGCAAATTAAGTTAATTTTTGGGTAACTTTTACTCTAGAGCCACTTGTGAATTTTTTAACTACCAATTGGCAAAATCAGAATTACCTTCCAAAGAATGAAACAATGGCTAGAATACCACTATGTGGGAACAAAAAGGCTAGAAAGCCACCCATCTAATTTCGATTTTCTAGAATAATAAAAATAAAAGAATTAAAATCAAATAAATAGAAAAAGACCAAAAACCCTTACTCTAATTTAATAATTACGTATTTCTGCCATTAACCCAACTTACTCTCTTCTTCTTCCTCTTTCACGCCTCTTCTTCTTTCACGCTTCTTCTTCTTCTTCTTCTTTCATTTTTTCTAGATTTTTTTTGGATCTTTCACTTTAGATCTCTTCTTCTCCATCATCATCATCATTAATGAAACTTTAGATCTATCTTCTCCATAGATCTCTCTTTGTGTTTCTTCATGGATTGAATATTTCTTCATGTTTCTTCTCCATGGATTTCTTAGATTCACTAATCATAGATCTCTCTTCATGTTTCTTCTCCATGGATATCTCCTCGTGCTTTCGTCCTTTGAAGTGCGCAATCGTTTGGTGAGAAAAACGGTTCACAAACTTCGACAAGGAAGGTTGACGACGGATAATCGGCGACGACGACGATGAAGAAAGCAAGAAGAGGCGAATTAGTGAGTGTGACGGTGCTAGGGTTTAGAATTACAATTGCTTCGTTTCAGTTGTACCTACCTATTTGTACCAGTTGTACCTAACTATTTGTACCATTGTACCTAACTATTTATACTAGTTGTACCTATTTATATGTCAGTTATACCAATTGTACTATTATCTTTTAGTAATATCATTTGTACCAGTTGTCCAATTATCTCTTAGTTATACTATTTGTATCAGTTGTCCTATTATCTCTTAATTGTACCAATTGTACTATTATCTCTTCGTTGTACCAATCGTCTCTTATTTCATTAAGGGTAATTTGGGAATATCACATTTACAGTGGCATTCAGATCACAAAATGGCATGCCTGATTCATTTTCTTCAATTAGTGGCAAACTATCCTCGGACTCAGAATGCCCAAAGAATAGCCAATATGTCATTTTTCAGACAAAAATGCCCTTTGAGAGGGTACATAGTTGACGTGTATGGTTAGTTCGGAAATCTTATTATTTATAGTGTAATAACAGAAAAGCGGAAATAAAATAAGAATATTATTATTTTTCACCCTCTTTTGTTTTCATATTGTTTTTGCGCTTTTTTGTTTTATAATTATTTCTTCTTTTTGTACTTTTAATTATAATTTATTTTTTTCTTTCTATTGAGATCCATCTTCGTATATATATATTTTGAATTTATATTTTTTTAATTTGAATCGTCGTGTAGTTGAAAACAATTTGATATTAATATATCATATACTCATGTGTACGTACACGATAATAAATTATATACATATGTGTACGTAAATATTTAAATAATTTGTATATTTATGTTAAAGAGATTTTTTTGCAGCTTACAAACATAAAATCAGAAAATTCAAAACAAGTACGAACTAGGCCTGGTAAAAATACCAGAACTAAAGAACCGAACCAAACCTACTTAAAAACGAGTACCAAACTGAACTGAACCCTGAATCAATAAAATACCTGAACCATCCTAAATTTCTATATCCGAATAACAAGAACCGTACCCGAATAGCCAAAACCGTATCTGAAGAACCAGATCCTAACCCGAAGCAAACCTAGAAATGAATGGATACTCAAAACAAACTGAGAACCGAATGGATACTCGAAATATAGTAGTACTAGATCATAATCCGTGGTGGAGCAGCACGGATGTAATTTTAATTTTTAAATATTTATTTAAAGTTAGATTATTGTTTGTTTTATAGTACAATTTTAAT